AGTTAATATATGTCAAGTCCCTTCCCCTCCTTGAAATCTCTTCTGAAACCTCAGAAATCTTCAGTGAGGCCTACCAGCAGTAGTATGTGCCCACAACTTATTTTTAGTTGTATTGTGCCAATATATCGCTTTAGAAGATTTATCAGCTTTTAGGGGCAGGGATCTGGTTTGGTTTGGTTTTGTCATTTTAACAATGTTGCCAACTTATGATATTTGGGATTGGGAGAGGGGGAAGGTGTCAATTTGTGATATTTGGTGGTGGATGATGGGATGGAAAGGTTAGGGTTAGCTAACCCCAGCTCCTGAAATCATATGATTGCATGAGAATCTCAACGTTAAATGTTTTAAAAATTAGTATCTAACTTCCATGGTTGCGGATAAAAGCTTGACAATGTGAACCCTAAGCCTCAGACATCAGAAGACAAACGAAAAGACCCCAAATTTATTAATTTTTTAAATTTCATGAATTTTAAACTAACCTCATGCTTTTTGGGTGATATGACTTAATTTTTGAATGCTTGAGATTGGGTATATTACTTTCTATTTAGAATGTATTACATATTTTAAAGTTCTGTGTGCAGTTCTTGTACTATAATAAAAAATCTACTAAATAGTTAGAATTTCTTTTAATTTATGCATAAAATCCAAATATAACCTTAATATAACTATTGCCTAGAAACCAACAGCATCAATAATTGCAGTGTAAGGGGAGAATGCACTATCAGGATAAACTAGATACTGTTTCAGGAACTTGAGGTGCTTGCTGGTTCTCAAATGGTGAGCATTTCAACATTTAATCTGCTCTGATCTAATGTATTCAAAGGTTCAGAGGGTGAACAGCCTATATCCACACTGATAGTACTTCTGCAATATTTTGTTAATATGCAATGAAGTGTCAACCACATCTATAGATGCATTAAACAAAAAAGGCACTTGACACCCTGTGATGGGTTCCCTCCGGGGTGCGACCTGGAACTGGCTTACCTCTGACCCACCAGCCTGGGCTCCCGCTCACACTGTGCTGCTGTGACAAGTTGCAAAGTCCTCCAAGCTTGCACTTCCAGCAGCATTCACACAGGTAGGGACACACCCAGCTGCAGTCACATGCAGGCTCTCTCACCACCAGCCTCCCAGCCTCCTTCCCACTTGCTGGAAAGCTCTTTTGCTGTGACCTGGGTCAAACAGTTCCCATTGTGTAGGGCTATCTCTGAGAGGTTTCTACTGTACACAGTTCCTGGGGTAATCCTTATGCTTGTGTGCATTTCCTCAATAAGCCATTAACATTGTTTGGCCTTTTTACTGTTGTACCTGAAAGGCTGCTCGTGGGTATTTTCAACCTCTCAACATGTTTCAGTAACACATACATAGCCAAACTTCATAACTTCACATATAACGATAGCACATACCCTCCAAGAAGATATTAATGTCTAGGAGATCAAGCCTTTTAGAATGACACCTCACAAGGCGCACTTTGTACAAAACACATCCTAATTACATGACAGTGGTGAATATTGGGGTGCCAGGGTGTCACACATTCAGATATACCACTTCCATTGTTGTTAGGCTACAAAGAAAATCACAAAAGATCTACCTCAGCAATATGTACTCAAAGCACCTCTTAGCCATTCACTACATCACTGCCAAATAACTATTTTTTTCTTTTAAGTCCCTGAAGTTGTGCTCATTAGCTCCTCTCTACAGTTGCACGTTAGCATACACCAGCTATGTTGTCACAGCTGACACTGGAGTCTGGAGCCTGTTCATAAAAATTCAGGTATGTATATTTTTTTTAAATCTGAAAAACATGACTTATTCAGCCCCTATGGAACCAGTTCCAGTCTCCTTTGGAGTTATTTAGCAATAATTCTTAGTATTTATACAGCAGTTTTCATCTGTAGATCTCAAATTAATTTACAAATCAGGTTATTCCCCTTTTATAGTTGGGGAAACTGAGGTAGGTATGACGTGTCCAACATCACACAGCAGTGACAGAATGAGGAATAGAACCCAAGTCTCATGATAGCCACGCTGGTGGTCTGTTCATTGGACTACACTGAGAAATAGGAGTCAATAGAATGAAGCTTAGGGGGGCTTGACATATTTAAAAAGTTATTTGTTAAGTATCATTGTGTTGAATGCCCTTTTAACCTGTCATGTTTTGCCGACGTAGATGGATTTCTCATATTTTATTGCAATTTACCATTCAACCAGAAAATGATCTGAGGATGTAGCAATATGTCTATCGAAAACATGTGAAAAGCACCACAGTCTCAGATGGGCTGAGAAAGTGCAGCTGCTCTTTCAGCTCAAAATTGAACATCTACTACTTGATTTTCCTCACTGAAACCAGTGTAACTTCATTGACATCAATGGAATTATTCCTGATTTATATGTTTATAAAATAAGTGAGATCAGAATCTGGCTCCTACCCTCATCTTAACATTAAAAAGTGTTTCAGGGACAGAATCAATGGAAATCCAGGGCAAATGGAACCATCAGAATTATATAATAATCTACTCGACATATTCAAATATGAAAATCAGATACACACCCTTCCCCCCATTTAGAAGGGAATTTCTTGACATCAGAATAGACACTGCCTCTAAAAGAGAGAAACCTGATTGGCTTTTGGGGATGTTTTACATCACATATTCTCTGCATTAGACACTATCTCTAGCACTGTGTTGGAACATTTATTCAAGATGTCTTTATCGCTTTCTCTCAACTACTGTTATTCCTGCATTTTCACTTTCCCTGAATCCCAACTATCCAAACTTAAATTCTTTTCAAAATGCAAGAGCTTATCTCCTCTCCCACATCTGAAAGGAACATGTTTCCTCTCTTCTCAGAAATTTTCCTGTGCCCTCCTCTTAGGGCCAAATTCTCATCCACATGTAAACATATACATAGAAGGAGATGAAAGCTTGATAGTTTTGAATGGAGAAAATATACACTAATCATTACATATAATGTCAAATGGACTTCAGTGGCATTGTGCTGTATGTAAGAGGAGAATTTTCAAGATTTTCTATATAATTGTCCCTGTTCCACCTCTCTGACTTCAGCTTTTACAATTTTATGGCCTATTCCCTATTGCCCTGGAATGCCAGACTCCTTCCCTTTCCCGGCTACTCCAGAGTGAGTAGCTGATCCTTTTCCTGTTTTTGCCCTGATCATGTATAACAGCTTTCCTGCCTATTTGCAGTTAAATGATTCTATGATTCTCTTCAAATCCCATCTCACAAATGTCATCTGGTCTCCCAGACCTATTGAGTGACCTAATACAGATATTGCGCCAGTTTAGCTAAAATCAATGTAAAAACTAATTTGGTTAAACCAGTGCAAAAGTCCTGTGTGGACACACTTGCATCAGTCTACAGCTGGTTTACAGTGGACTAACTTGCATCAGTCAATCACAAAGGTTTCATATCAGGCTCATTATTTAAATTGAGAGGTTCAGAAAAATAAAATTAAATCATATTAAATAACTCCAAGAATGTGAGGACTGCATACCAATATTTTCATTGAGTTTTCTTTATTTCTTTTTGTCTCTTTCCTTTTCTTGGTTCTGTAGTAAGAACATCCATATCATTGTGTGCAATTGCTGTAATTAAAACCACTGATGCATTTGTATAAGGCAGTCTTGACAAAATCTAGCACCCTCAAATCTAGCAAAAAATTATGGATTTGGAAGCACGATTAGTCTGAATGCCTACATGCATCCCTAAAATATGCTTTTACCAATAATTGCTCCGAGTTAGTGTGAGCCACCAAGACCAATTCAGAGCAGATGTAATCAGGTGCAGATCAATTTATCTTAATTGGTAACTACAGTATATGTTGCTATTGGTCAAAAATGTATCCAGCTAAGGATAAATTAATGTTTTATTTACATGTCTCTTTTGGTACAGTCTCTTTGGCATAGTAGAGACATCTGAGCTGATACCTTTAAGCCATGCCACAACCAGATTGTTGCTACCAGACCCTACGTTTCTTTGTCATGCCATGATGAGGAGTGGTCCCTCTTGTCACAAAGATTCCTCAGGGTTTGTGAACTTTTGCAGCAACAGATTGGATAACCCATCTGGCTGCCTCTGACCTTTTTATGGTGTAGCAGGACACAGGCAGGCATTGAACTGGACCAGGTTACGGAGACTTAGCAAGCTGGTACTTTTCTTTCAAGTCTGCCATCTTGTGTTCCAGAAACTAAGCTATGATGCTGGGTTTTTTTTATAAAATGTAAGTCTCCTTACAAAGACGACCTGATTACAAAGAAAAGGTACAAATTGTGAATTGAGGATAAACCGATATAGTAGTATCTGCCTGAGTCTGCAGACAGCATGAGTCAATAGCTCTGAGAAGGGAAAAATCCTTTAATTAATATCATGTTGACTCTGAAGCTTAATGATAATTTCAATGTAAACCTTATTAACTATTTTACTGTTGAACAAAATATTCAAAAAAGAAGAAAGATGACAATCAGATGATGTCACTCCATGCAGAGCACCTAAGAAAGAAGGAAGATGCTATTAAGAAGATCTGCACAGTTTATTGTGAGTGATGTCTAACATTGGCAGGTCAAGTGGGTAGGGCTCGGTTTGTGGATGGAGCTTGAGAGAATACTACTACTTTGTCCCAGATTTGACCCTGGATATAGGACACATGCCACTAGCCACCTGACAGTGTATTGTCTTCTGGCCAACTGAATGCATCTATAATACTGGGAATGGGGCACTGAGAATTCTAGAGGTTCCCTTTGTACCAGTGCAGAGTAGGCACTGGAAATGGGCTGAGCAGTAGCAGCAGAAATCAGAGTTGAATCTGTGAAGCTGGGACCATCAGGAACCAAGATCCTTCCCGCTTCCTGCAGGAATTGCTTTAGCTGCTCTGTGTCTTTAAGAGGCTGACACTATCCTGCAAATGAGCCATTATAAAGGCAGGTAAGCAGCAGCAATTGGATCAAAGAGCTGAGAGCAAAGCAGAGCACAGCAGCCTGCATAATGACCGGACACCACTGCTGGGGATACGGACAGGATGATGGTATGTTACATCCATCCTTTCCTAACCTAATCACTCTCTCTTTCTCTCTCTCCCGATCATCAGCTCCTCAATATCCTTGTCTAATCCGTGCAGAGGTGCCTGTATTTCATCATCTGCAGGCATCAAATGTGCAGCAGGCAGTTAACTAGTTTATCAGTATTAAACAACACCGAAAGAAGGGCACCTGGAGATGACAAACTTCACCTGCTGCGGTCCTGTCATAATCAGCAGCACTGCCATAATCTGTATGTAAGAAACCTGCATCTTTCTTGAATTGGGGTGGAGGACATTGAGAGTCTTCCCTGCAGATATTTTAGCCATCTCCTCCGCAAAATGATGATAGTAAACTGGGGTTTTATTTCTCCCTCTAAAACAATCATTTGAATGAAGGAGATTTGGTGGAGTGGTAATGGACAGTCTGATCCCACTAAGATGACTAAAATGTGATATTCATGCTATATAGGTTCCTTGAATTCCAAGAAATTATATAGATCAGTATTTAAACATTGGAGGCATTTTTTATTAAACAAGCCATACTATTCTTCCTGGTGTTTAACAGCCCCTTTAATTTAGAGTTATTCTCTTTCTGCGCCTCCCGCTCCTCAAAAAAGTATGTATGTAAAGAAAACTTATGTGGAGACTATGCAGACTCTTGAAAATTTGTACAATATCTATATCATTTGAAGAAAATGGATGGATGAATGACTGATGTTACCCCAGTAAAACAAGTTTATACATGATTGAGTTAAAGCTAGAACACTGAGTGAAAGATGCATAGCTCCAGCAGATATTATTTGTAAGTGTGTGTGTGTATTTGTATGTATCTATTTTATTCATAAAAAGCTTATGAGGAGGCAGGGCCGCCCAGAGGATTCAGGGGGCCTGGGGCAAAGCAATTTCGGGGGCCCCTTCCATAAAAAAAAGTTGCGATACTATAGTCTCGTGGGGGCCCCTGTGGGGCCTGGGGCCTGGGCAAATTGCACCACTTGCCCCCCCTCTGGGCAGCCCTGTGAGCGAGGCTCAGTTATATTGTATAAGCTTCAATAGAATTTCAATACCTAATCTCTTTTAAAAACAGCCCCCAGGTTGAGAAAAGGAAAATATATCATTTATAAGCTAGTGCTTCAATGCCTGCCAAAGACCGACATAGTATGTTACATTACATTTTTTTTTTTTTACCAACACAGGTTGGGGCAAGTGCAGTAGTTTACACCTGTGAGTGATTAACATTTTTAACAAAAATGAGAATGCTACAATTAAAGTGTTTTGGGTTATTTTTAATGTATTAAAAAGTCAACATGATAACTTTCCCAAAACAGGGAGTAGAAGAATTACATTGCTGTGTGTTGTAATAAAATACACAAGTGAAACAAAAGTATACCTCTACCCCGATATAACGCAACCCGATATAACATGAATTCGGATATAACGCGGTAAAGCAGCGCTCCGGGGGGGGGCGGGGCTGCGCGCTCCAGCGGATCAAAGCAAGTTCGATATAACACCGTTTCACCTATAACGCGGTAAGATTTTTTGGCTCCCGAGGACAGCGTTATATCGGGGTAAAGGTGTAAAAGGTAGCAATAAATAATTCTTTGATGTAGATATGATCTTGTTATCTTAAACAGCATGAGAGCACTCCTGCTCCTAGAGCAGAAAGCTATGTGATTATACTCGTATTTAATCCCACTCCTTTGGGATCAGGAAGTCCAAAGATGTTGATAATCATCCTGTACCGCTCACTTGCAGTAGAGAAATAGCATAGTGGCATTATGGAATAATAATGCCTGTTTCTCAAAGATTTACTGCAGTCATGAAATGGGTTTAAAAATAAACACATAGTAGCTGAGACATTCTGAGTCATCTGTATCTAATTTGAATCTCGAGCATTTATCACTGTCCTACCCAGGAAAGCTAAAATACACAGTGTATGTGTTTAAAATATCAACAGAGAGAGAGAGAGAGAGAGATTCCTCAACCAAGTCTATTCTGGAATAATCTATTTGTAATTGCATTTAATTTCTACAGGAATAAGCAGAAAGGTCTTGGTGTGCCTGTGGCTGTATTATGTTCCCATCATTATGCTTTTCATAAAAGCGCTAAATCGCCCACCAGGCTGCAGGCTGCACTGCTAGTATCTGTAAACACACACAATACAATGCACAGTGTTTCAGATAACTCCTATGATGACAAACTTACATGATTTCCAATGAACGTGGCATTCACTCCGAGGCTCATAAAAACTTCTAATGATTCTTTTCTATCTGTGGCAAAAGTGAAGTAACGGTGTTTTCCTTTCCTTTGTTTCAAAGGGCCTTCTGAGTGGTACAAATCATATCCCATTGCCCAGGGACATCGTCAGTCACCTGTTGATATAGTCTCCATGCAAGCAGTTTATGATCCTAGTCTGAAGCCTCTTATTATCTCATATGAATCGTGTACATCTCTTGAAATCTCCAACAATGGCCACTCAGTCATGGTGGACTTTGAAGATGCTGATGACAAGACAGGTGAGCCTGATGCTGTCTTAGAATTAAGATCTCGTAGCTTATATTTCTTTACCTTCTTAGCTAGAGAGATGATAAAATACATTATGTGAAGTAAAATTAAAGGCTAGTGTACAATTTTGCTCTATTTAAATCTTCTGCTATGAGACCAGTGGCATTACTTGCCTGGGATATGTGATTTGAGCCACTTTTGTTTTACCATTTTCTTGGGCCTGCCTTTTTTTTTTTAATATCACAATCTGGCAGAGGTTTGAAAAGTGGAGAGACTGGGTGCTCAGTCTGTGTGCAAAGTGTCACTTAGCAGATCCACATCCCTACATGGTAAGGCAGAATTCAATCTGCGGACAGGAAACTCTGCATTTCAATTTGTGGTGGTTCCTCTGAATTGTCCTGAGATGGAAAGGTGGTCACTTCTGCTGAATACAGACCACATAGATATCAAGGCCCTTGATGACCTAGACCTATCAGCACAGAAACATGGTCCCTCATTGATTCCTCTTTCCCAGGCTTCTTCAGAAATGATACAGACTCTCTGGCTAGTTCTGCTGAGGAAGCAGACTGTGCATGTTACACAAGCTGCAGCTGCCTTTTATCCTTCATCTTCAGCTCTAGGCAGTGTGAGTTTTGGTGCTGTTAAACACTCGATTGGGGTGGCCAAACGTGCAGACCCTTTGAGCTGCATATGACAATCTTCAGAAGTTTGAGAGCCGGGGCACACCTGCCGGGGCTCCGGGCTTCAGCCCCGTGGAAGGTGCCTGATGGGGCTCGGGGCTTCAGCTCCGCTCCTGCTGAAGCCCCGAGACCCTCCTTCCTACCGGGCAGAAGCCCTTACCCGACCACCCTGCTGCAAGGCAGAGGTCCTGAGCTTCCCCCCCAGTCTGGTAGGTGGAGAACGGGGGGGACCTGAGGGACTCCATGAGCTACACTTTAACTGTAAAAAAGCCGCATGCGGCTCGCAAGCCACAGTTTGGCCACCCTGTATTAGATTGTTCTCCTTTTGCCTCTATAGAAAATTTTGCTCTGATTCACTTACACACTGATTCTGAGGCACAGAATATCAGAAATCTATTAGTAACTGGTAAGTAGAGAGGAGCTTTTATATAAATGGTCTCTGATGGGCTAGTTTGTTTTATTTTAACTTATGTCAGCAACTAATGGTCATTCATCCAGTTTGGTGCTTTTGCTGATGCCAGTTTATTTTGATATTCAAACTAAATGTTATGGTTGCTGAGAAATGAATGACCTGCAATGGCCTGAGGTACTCTCTATTGCCTTTGAAGTAATCCCATAAGGTTGTCAGAGCATTATCAGGTATGGGCTTAAGTTACAGCTACTGGGTCTTTTAAAAGAAAAAACCCAAGGACAAGCAAACAGCTCAGTGAATGATCAATTTGCAAGTATAATTTCTGAGTTTTAAGTAAAGACAATGGATCTGAGCTTGTCTAAAATTAGCTTCTTTAAAGATTCTTTTAAGCATGTGGCCTTAGAAAGTGACTTTGTAAAATGTATCTGGAAAAAGTATCTTCACGGACAATTTTAATTTAGTTATAAATAATAGAAATCTGTCCATTTAATAGTGAAATTCACCTAAGTTCAGAGGGTTTGCACTACAGGGTCCTGCATTGCTCCTCAAGGGGAGGGCACCACCGCAGCATCCGTGGTAGGGGCTCTCTGCCCCTGGTGCATTATGGAGGGACTTTCCATCCACTAGACTGGCATGAAGGGGGCTATTGGAGGAGAGCAAACCTGGAGAGAAGCTACTAGAGCTGCACTTGGATAGTTCCAGTGGCAGGGGAAGGCAGGGTTGGAGGAGGGGCATGCATTTCATCTACCCTATAAGCCCCCATTTAGGCCCCAATTTAGCAAAACATATAAGAATGTGCTTAACTTTAAGGGGATAGACTTTAGTCCAGTTAACTTCAGTGGGACTTAAGCATGTGCTTATGTGCTTTGGGGTATAAAGGCTAGTTTCCTACACAATTTGAGCCGTGTGGTGGGGTTGTGGACTACACTCTTAAAAGTTAATATTCCATGTGAAGAGCAGTGAAATAATTCCATAACTCGAAAAATTTAGAAGCAAATAAAATGATAAGGACTATGTTGTTAAAAAATACATTATAGACATGGTGTGTGCATTCTTTACAATACTTTTTTAATTAATTACCAGTTTTCAGTTCTGTTTGACAGAAGATGAACTTCTTGGTGTCCTGTCTCTTTAAAGCACAAGAAAATGACTAGAACTCTGCTGAAATGTTATTTTCTTCCTATAAATGTAGGCCACATTGCCTAGGTATTAATGGGCTGCATTTATTAAAAGTATTATTTTAAAATTTAAAATGTTAAAAGTTTGTATTTACCTTGACCAAATCCCATAATCTCTCCTATCTGTCTTCCCCACCTTTGTAAAGTGACTTGAGATCCTCTTATGAAAGGTGCTATGTTAAGTACAAGGTATTTCATTAACTTCCTCTACCAGGATCAGGTATTAACAGAAAACAGAATATAGAGAACTTTTGCTGGATGGAAAAAGATAATCCTAAAGAGGAAATATGTAGCAAAATGATATATGGCTGTGTAAAACTGCACCTTCTAACTCAACAGATCCACTCCCTGTCTTCCACAAAGTCCCAGGTACTTTTACAATTCCAAAAAATTATTTAAAAACACGTCACAAACTGTTTCTAATTCCAATTGTTTTTTTTTTTAAATACAAAAACCAGTTCAGCGTTCTGAATTTCAATAGGAAGCATCCATAGCTTAGTTGCTTGGTGGATAGCTACTATGTCCTTACCTCAAATTGACATTTCCAAAGGCTAAATAGGAATATGGTAAATTTTTATATAAGTAATTGTCAGTAAAAATTTGTTTCTCCTTCTAGTATAAATCTGCTATCTCTGATATCAGCCAGGAAGAAAAACTCTTTACCCTCACTCACCTTCTCCTAAACTTGGACAGGGGGAGCTGACATGAGATATTTACTTACACAGATGATATTGTGAGTTTCCAACAGATTTGGTGGCACTGGATCATAGGTCAGATACATCCCTAATGTAACTTCATTGACTTTGATCAGGAATAAATTTTCCCTGTGTTATTAATTCTAATAATCTGAGAGCCAAGATAAAGCACCTTCTTTGTATTTTGTTAATTGTGACTTTGGCTTCTCTTCTGTATACTGTATATCAAAAATATATATATTTTTTCCCTCCTGGCTCTTGAGAGATGCTGTTTCTCCACTATTGACCCAACTAGTTTCTACAGTCAGGCAGTAAAAAAAACCAAATATTTAATCTTTTACATTCTCTTTATGCACTTCCATTTACAGTGATCAATGGGGGGCCCCTTGAAGGTCCCTATAGGCTAAAGCAGTTTCATTTTCATTGGGGAATGAAGCACAGTCAGGGATCAGAGCACACAGTTGACAGCAAATCTTTTCCTTCTGAGGTAAGAACTTTTTCACAACCACTTTACTACAACCAGGATGCAAACCTGAAACAAAATTTGGAACAGTTTGCATCCAGATCTGAATTTTGCAGCTTGGCCCATCCATTTAACCAAGCAATATATTGCTATCTATATATTCATTAATTGAAATGCTGTCTACATGCAGTTTCTAGCTGGCCATTTCTCTCTATCCACAATGGGGTTTGGAAGCAACAGCTCTGCACCACACACTTTAAATAAGTAACCAGTATCTCTTGCTTATATTTGCCTGTGCTCTATCTGTCTATTACTGTGTCCATACAGTATATAGCATGAGGGGGCCCCATTCTTGGTTGGCCCTTTGGCACTACCCTAATAAATGTGGTTTTGGGGGTGGTGCCATAGCTCTGGCAGCCAATAGTAGTTTGCAGATAAGGAAGAAGAGACGTAGTTCTAGCTGACCCTGGGAGTGCTTTTTTTGGGGTGGTGGGGTGTTCATTGTTTAATCCGCTCAAACGACTGCTGTTTTGGAACTTGGTAAATTCCTAGTTGAGTTGGTTTGTCCCAGAATTTCTGGCAAATCTGCCCTTCAAGCAAAGCTTTATTATGTGATAAATGGACTGATGTTATTGCTTACTAAGCGTAATACAACCTGTGTGAGGGCCTTTATCATTTAGCTTGTTCATACTTCTGTTTTATGATTCCCCTTCACAGCTCCACTTGGTTCACTGGAATGCCAGGAAATATGCAACATTTGGAGAAGCAGCAGCAGCTCCAGATGGCTTGGCGGTAGTTGGTATTTTCTTGGAGGTAAGAGTCATGAAAATAATGGTGTGTGTTTTATGTGTAGAGGCGCATCAAACTGTCAACTGTTTAAGAACTAAGACACATAGTTGAGAAGAACTGTTTGGAGAAAATAAATGCCTTTACTGGAAGCAGTGACTCAAGGCAGACTGCAATTAAACCTACGTCAGTGGGAACATGCCTAAGACAGAAAATGACTTGTTATATATTCAAAGCATAATTATTAACTATATCATATCTATATTCTCATGCAACTGTATCCATTACACTTGTAGACTGGAGAAGAACATGCCAATATGAACAGACTAACTGATGCCTTGTATATGGTAAAATTTAAAGTAAGTTTTTTGTTTGCTCTTGTATTTATTTTTCTTCCCCTCACTTGGATGACTTTTAAACAGTATAAACTTGTGCACAAGCTTGAGTGAAATAAAAACAAATTAAAGCAGCAAATTCCATCTCCCCCCACCCCGAAATTCACCCATCATTAGTACGTAACGTAATACAAGGGCATATAAAAGTGATAGTTTAAACACACTTCATTCTAATGTATTGTCTCTCACCACTCATGGTTGCCTTGTATCCTAGAATAGTAGGATCTAATGCACAAAACTTCAATATAATACCCTTTTGCTATCAAGGAGTTCAGAATGAATGAACATGTTGTTCCTGCCTCTGTGTGTTTTGAGAAGGGACTATTGAATTCTGATGTTGTGGATATGTGCTTGGCCATAACTCGCTTTCCCACTTTGAAAAGGAAGCGTTTCCCCTTCAGGCATTTCTTATAATTCCTTTTTAAAATGGCAGGACTGCCCTTCAGGATGAGATGCCCTTGTCCTCACTCCTGCTGGATTCTGGGGTGAGCAGAATTTTGCAGACACATTGGCGTTTTTTGGTTGCATGGCTGTGGAGTGTGAGTGAGCAGGTGCCTCCTCCTCCTGATCTGCTTCTCAGTAACAATGCCTGGATCCAGGAGTCCTGTTCTGGACCACTGTAACCCCGAAGGTAGTCGTGTAACCTCTCCTGGCACTGCACTCAGTGCGAGCTCAGCATCCTCTGCCACATGCTTACCTGAGCTGGAAATTACACCTGCAGCTTCAGGATAGACCTACTCTTTGTTCTAGATTTGGGTGTTTGATTGCAGAGGCAATCTTTGCCTAGATTGCCTTGTTGCTCCAGACGCCAAGCAGAGTAGTAAGGCACAAGAAGCACAGGAATTCCACAATTCCGTAGAAGCAAATGCTAATGATGAAGTGTGCACCGTTAGCAGCTCGTGCTGGGCACTATACAGAGGAGAGATTTTCTGTCTAATTTCCCGATGGGGAAGGGGCATTAATTGCAAGGGGACCTTTTGTTTTACTAGCTCAGTGCTAACACAGGCAGCAGGGACATACATCCCTAAGCCAGCATCTGGGTCTGGGATCACCACAGCTCATGTGATATCACCACAATACTAGATGAGTGCTATTCTCGTGATGTTGTTGTGCTTAGACAGAGCCAAATTATCATCCCATTATTCTTGCAATTTTAAGCTATCAGCTGGTGTTTCTGTTTCTCAATAAATATCTATCTCCTTAAACACATTTTTTTTAAAAAGAAATATAATGTGTCTGTTCTTTCCAGGGGACAAAAGCTCAGTTCAGAACCTTCAACCCAAAATGCCTCCTGCCCTCAAGTCTAAATTACTGGACATATCCTGGTTCTCTAACAACACCTCCTCTATATGAGAGTGTAACGTGGATAGTGCTGAAAGAGCCTGTCAGGATTTCTGAGAAACAGGTAAACTTGCAGTCAGCTTGTCCCCAAGTTTTGATACTCCTGACTTCATTTTTTTAGGGTTCAAAATGGGATCTGTGGGCAGTGATTGTTTTCTTTGTACAATGGGACTAATTTAAGAAATGGCAAATAGCCTGAGATGTCTAGTCTTGAAGTACTGAATGACGGATTTTGTGGATAAAGTAGAAAGCCAACATTTTGTTTGTTATGCCTCCATAAAGATATAATGGACCAAATTCTGCCCTCATTTACACCCATGCAACCATGTCTTAGTTGAATGCAAGGACCTGCCTGGAATTTCTTTGCTATCTGTCAAATTAACATTCTCTTATCTATTTCACTCTATTTGCCAGGAAAATGACTTAAAAACTTAAGTTCAGATTTTCAAAGGTATTTAGGTACCTAAATATGCAGATGGGTGTCTAGTGGGCTTTTCAAATGTACGTAGGTGCCCAACTCCCATTGATTTCAATGGCAATTAGGCACCAAGGTACTTTTGAAAATCCTACTAGATACCTATCTGTATCATTAGACACCTTTACAAATCTGGCCCTTAGGCCAAATTCTATTTTAACAAAAACTGGTGTAACTCAGCATGATTTAGCCTTTGATATTTGTCTGACCAAATGTAAAAGAAATGTTCATATAACACCTTCCCAAATAGTAATTGATATCATGGGAAGTAGATGCCATATGAGACTGCAGGGGAGATTTGAGACTGAACCTATCTGTAGACATTTTAAAGCACAGACTTATAAAATGGGATTAATTTTTTTCTGAATTTCCAGTGATGATATTTGCACACTTGGTATTATAGAGTGAATAATAAATCATTATTAATAATGTAATATCTCACTCCAAGCCCAGATTTGCCATCTTCAGTGCCCACACATTCCAAACAATCTTGTTTAAAATTGTTGCTTAAATGATCTTTGGTATAGCAAGAAAAATCTTTGGTACTCGCTTTTTTATGTATTTTCAAAACTGCTGTACAAGCATCACTCATTTTATAGATAGGGAAACTGAGACAGAGAGATCAGGTGACTTGCCCAAGATTACATATGATGTTTGTGGCAGAGCCAGGAATAAAATCCAGATCTCCTGACTTTCCACTCTCTTGTGTTAGCCACAAGAGCAGACCTCCTCCCATTCCAACCATCTTCCAAGAGAGCAGTCACAACTGCACATTCATTGTGTTTCCAAACATTTTATATTTTAGGTCTCTAACTCTTTTCTTCCTAACTTTAACTCCTCCATCAGAATCTCGCTTCATGTAAATCTCCTGTTGATTTTATTGACTAGATGTTTTTGTTCTTTTGTGTGAATTTCTAGTGCATGTGAAAAGTGCCTTATTGTCAGCCCTGGAGACTGAGGTTCTTTATCTACAAAACAGGTATAGCACAGGCAGCAGCAGTGCAAGTTTCCCTCACTGCCCCACCAATGTGCTTCACCTTGGAGGGTGAGAGGTTTGTTTAGTCTCCTCCTAGCCCACTTAAACCTTGGCCTCTCTCTTGAGTGTCTCTTACAGGGTTGCCAATTGGTCTTTATTGTGGTGGTGGTGATGGCGGTTTTGTAGATATAACAAGCCTACCCCTTGCCAAACAACATAACTCATTATTAATTTGATAACCTCTACCCCCAGGTCACTTAGCACTACTGTTTTCCAGATTTCTTCCTCCTATTGGATATCTGGGTTTCAGATAAGTTTTGCATAAACATATTAGTTTGCAGATTTCCAAGCTGAATCTCCTTCTGATGTTTTCTAATATTTCTAGACCCCTGTTTATTATTTTCCCATCTGCACTGCACTACAAACTGAGAATGTTATCCAGGATCTTCTGCATTCCTGAACCATCCAGTCACAGTAGAGGGTATGATCTGGCCCAAAGAAAGGAAAACTTTAGGCTGACTATCAGGAGAATTTCCTGGCAGTGAGACATATTACATTTGAAATATTGTCCCCGATAGGAAGTGATAGAAATACAGTCTCTTGGTGCATTTAAAACTAGACTGAGCAAAACACCATAGGAAATAGTCTGATAATGGTGGGGGTATTGTCTAGATGACCGAACAGGTCTTTTTCATCTCTAACTGGAACTGAAGCTTCAGAAGTGGGAACGTGCACCTTCCATAGTAAAGATTCCAAATATAGAAAACAGTGGAACATATTGAAGTGAGCCAATCATGCATTTCAAACAAATTACTTTTGGAGGTATCTAATATTCAGTCACCGTTGGGGGCCTTCATCTGCTGTTAATAGTCTTTCTAGGCTCTTAGCTTGAAAATAGTCTATTATCAGATTGAAAAGTATTGAATGCCTTCCTCTTACCTTTTTTCAATGACATTAACACCAATTGCCTTTGCAAGTAGTAAAGTTATTTCATATGAATTTACAGCTGGAGAAATTCCGAACTCTTCTCTTCACCAGCGAGGGAGATGAAAGGATACAGATGGTGAATAATTTTCGCCCCCCTCAGCCTCTTAAGGGAAGAATAATTCGTGCTTCCTTCAAGGCCTAAAGAAGAAAATTAATAATGAGCTTCAAACTTCCAAGTGCTTCCATGTCTGAAAGGCCTCACAAGATCACTGATCTTCAGATGACTATCTCATTGAGAAAGTAAAACAGCCATTTCCACGAACACTTTGTGTTGTGGTGCAGAAAAAAGTCAATACCTCTTGGTTTTATGCTTTGCATGGGCCAGATCCATTCTTTTAAAATAATTATTATGGGATCTTGTTCTCTAAAAAAGAGAACATTTTTAAAAATCAGGAATAATTTAGTAATCCAGGGTGTACTCCAGTAGAATAGCGTGGTGATGTTCCATATTATTAACCATAATTTTAAGTTTGTATCTTAATATTTTAGAATGGGAACTTGCTTGTGCAATGATCTAATAATAGTGATGGACACAACTTCTAATGATTAGAGCTATTGTCCATAATCTAATAAAGAGTGGGATAATATTAATGAGCTCTGACATTGGAAGATCAAAGGCTTAGATCTTTCTGCATATTTCCTGTGGATTCTATTCAGTTTGACCAGCTCCTCTCGTTTAGAAGATACTTTGACTATATTCTAATTAATTGCAGTTGCCTTCTTACATGCAACCAGAGCCTGAAACAGTAGCACATACTAAAAAATATGTGATTTCTTCCATTCACCTCAAATGGGGTTGACTTTGAAGCCTAATTCACACAATTTTAGTGTTAACATTTTTAAAATAATTATTATTAAAAATAACTCACATTAGTGTTATAAATGCACTCAGTGCTTCACAAATAACCCATCTCCCTGCACATCATTGTACTTTGTACAAACTTTCATCCAAAGCCAGTAGGCCATGCATAAATATCGGGCCTTAATGCTTAATTCAGTTGAAAGGATGTTCCTTAGGAATAAGGCTACATTCAGATGACTGAGACAGCTGTTACTGTCCTTAAAATAACTAGAGTAAATGCAGTGTTTACAAGTGCTTAATCTTATTCCACTCTCTCAGAGCAATGGGGGGGATTGTGAGAGTTTGCTAGCAAACTTAACCCAGAAGCAGTGAGGGCAATTGATTTTTGAATAAGCAGGGGCCAGATTGTGATACTCACACTCATGAAAAGTACTACCTTACCCCACAAGTAGACCCACTGAAGTCAGCGTATCACAATATATTCAATGTAAATATTTTAACTCTTCCTTGTGTTCACAACTAAAATAGGAATAAGGACAAATCACTGAGAAAACAAACAACCCTGCCACTAAGAATTAGTACAGAATACCCCACGGACACCCACTTAGGGTGACCAGACAGCAAGTGTGAAAAATCGGGACGGGGGTGGGGGATAATAGGCGCCATATAAGACAAAACCCCACATATTGGGACTGTCCCTATAAAATCAGGACATCTGGTCACCCTACACCCACTTAAAAGTCCTACAGCTGCCTTGTGTCGTGAGTTTGTTTGATCTTACAAAACTAAGGAGGGTTAGCCCTGTCAGTGTTGGGTTGGGAGGATTTCTACCTATATGCTGCATTAAATGGTGCTGGGGATCCTGCAGGTGGTGCTGTTCTGTGGGATTGCCAAATGTGTGAAATAATGGACGAGCTGCCCTGCTGCTGGATGTGCTGTCATTTACTATGTCGGGTACACTTGTAGCGATTGTTGTTATGGCATGGATGTTAACCCTTCAAATTCTACCTCAACTCAGTGCATGCATCCGCAGCCTGGTTTCCTTCATTTCTTGCCCTAAACTTTATGATGTTGCTGTGCACAGTTAAGCAGATGCTGTGTTCCTCTTTAGGGGGCCTGAAATAGTTATAACTTAACTGCCTTCATTGGCATTAGTCCTGACTTACACTGGTATAGCTGATGTGTGAATCGGCCCCTAGGTTTCAGGGGTAAGTTGAGCACTCCTTGTGGTTGTGATATTTCGCTCCACCAGCAGCACTCGGCTTTTTTTTTTTTTTTCTCTTTCTCCGCCGGCAGCACTCCGCTTTTTTTTTTTTTTTTTTTTTTTTTTTTTTTTGGCTCTGCCGGCGGCCCCCCCCCCCCCCCCATGTGTCCCGATATTTTCTCTCTCTCATCTGGTCACCCTAATTCTGGGTGCTTTCACCTGCTCAGAGGAAAGGTGCCCCCCCAGCTGGGCAAAGTATTAATATTATCAGATTTTCTGCCACTTTGGTGGCAAAATTCGCCAAAGACTTCTTTTGTACTAGCTAATCAACCTGACGTTGATGTTAGTTGTAACTGACATCACTACATTCCAATTAGTTATCAGAAATCCTTAGCCCTATGCAGAATGACACGTGCATGTTGCGTAATTCAGAGGGAAAAGTGGTAAGATTCAACCATTCTGTCTAATCTCTATTTTTCAACCAAGGCTGCCCCCACTTCCCTCCTGCTGTGTAAGAAAAACTGTACAGCATAGGGGAGCAGAGAATCTAAAAAAGAGAAGAGCTGGCTCAGATGAGCAAGTCTCCTCGGAAAGGGAGAGAAGGCATTGTATTGGGACTGAGACAATCCTGGGAGTGAGGAGCGCAGGGTTCTAGACATGGTGCTTCCTGTGCAGCTTGTGCATTAAACTAAAACTCTCCATCCCTCACTTCTCTTATCTGTGAAATGGGGATAGTAAAACTTACCTACCTCACAGGGGTGTTGTGAGGGTTAATTCAGCAATGTTTAGAAAGTCCTTTGAGATCCTTGGCTGGAAGGTGCTACCAAAATGGAAAATCGTTATGAAGTGCAATGGATTGACCATTATGAATGTGATCTGTACAGCCTGTAGTGCAGGCTGCTATTGCAGAAGGCAGGAATTCTTTATACAAGGTATTCTCAATTTCTTTAACAAATCAAATATATTTTTTTAATAAATGTGTGTGGGGTCTTGCTCTAGGTCTCTTTTGAACAGGTCTAATTCTTGTGCTGCATTAGAAGAACACTCCCCCGCACCCTGCTGTAATTCACTTTTTCTAGGGCTTTCCCCCACCACCATAACTGAGAAATGCTGTGTGTTCTTTTTCTCCAGAACTGTTTTGTATAAGTCTGTACCAGATTTGTCTGAGATCAAGGGAGGCTCCAAACTACTTAATGATTCAAGTTTTCCACAGTCTCAAAGGGACCCTGAAATGTTGCATAGTAACTGCACAAAGACAGATATGATTTATCTCCTCTCAAACATTTGATATAAAAAATTCAGTTTACTTGGGCAGGCTGCTTCTCTGAAACCTGTAATCTAAGAAGCATTTCTAACATATGCCATATTTATTTCACAAAAGCATCTACCCGTCTTCTGTGGCTCAGTGGGTCCACTCTTGTTAAATGGATTAGTCTAAATTAAAGCACCTCTTGGCCACCATCTTTCTGTATCTGATGTATTCAGCTCTAGTCTTGGCTAGATCTTTTCTTGCCTTGTGCCAGAGATGAACAGGGATGTCATGAGTGCTATATGTGTCTGTTCAAAAAGAATTGGATAAGTTCATGGAGGTTAAGTCTATCAGTGGCTGGCTCTAGGCAACCCTATACCTTGGACTGTTGGAATTGTCCTGTTTTGTGCACTCCCCCATGAAGCTCTGCTGCTAGCCACTGTTGGAGACAGGATATTGGGCTAGATCAGTTGGTCTCAAACTTTTTTACTGGCGACCCCTTTCACACAGCAAGCCTATGAGTGCTCGCGACCCCCCATGTAATAACCTCACGACCCCCTGAGGGGTCCTGACCCCCAGTTTGAGAACCCCTAGGCTAGATGGACCATTGGCCTGAACCAGTACGGTAGCTCTTATGTTCTTATTTAGCTAAAATCTACCAAACAAACAATCATTTTAAAATGTAAGGTGTGCATTTAAAAATAAAACATAGATTTGATAGTCCCGAGGTTAATAAAAATCTTATTCTGGTCACGTCCTAGGCAATAATGAAAATATTGTGTTGACCACAAATAGCTTATTGATAAAATAAAAATACCATCATGGAACATCACTTCTTTCTAATTATCACCAATAAAGCCATTTATATGCCAGGTTACCATTTAAGATTTTCAACGTATTCTCTCATTCCGCACATTTATATGATTGAAGAAATTTAAGGGATCCTCTACTCCTCTTATGAACGGAGACCCTCAAGGAAGGCAACATAGTCTAATTAAACCAAGGTTGCCTGTGTTCTGTTCCTGATTCTGCCACAGGCATTCTGTGACCTTGATCATGTCACTTAATCTGTCTCTGCCTCAGTTTATTCATCCATGAGACAGGGATCATATTTACTTCTTGAGGTTATTGTGAGGCTCAGGGCTTAGCTACATGAACACTTATTTCATGGAAAGCTGGAGTGTAAATTTACCCCATGCTAGCCTGTTGTGTACTAAATGTCTGTGTGGACCTGCTGTCATGCACTAAAAGTTCCATGGTGTGCTGTAATCTTTTCCCATTTCAAAGGGGATGAGGGGGTAGATCAAAGTTCACTAGTCAGTCCACATGGACACTTAGTGTGCAGCAGACTAACACATGGTAGATTTACAGCCCAGCTTGCCAAGAACTACGTGTTCATATAGACAAGCCCTTAAATACTGTTTGTAAAGAGCTTTAGGGGCCCAATCCCACAAGTTGCTCTGCTTCTGAGAGGTGCTTAGTACCCTCAACTTCCATTCTTTCTGTAGAGGGTCTGCACTATTCCAGAATAAGAGTGGGGTTAATTGGGAACAGGTAATCAGGAATAACTCCCTGTGTAAACAAGCCCATATTTAGGAATTGTTTTGCTTTGAGGTTAGAAAGCGTGAACCGTTCTTACAGTGATTTAGTGTAATCTGTTGATAGGAAAGTTACCCTATGAATTCCTTCATGTTTTTCTTGATGGAGTCAAAATGCATAAGCATTGGAATTTCCCGTAGAAAAGCATAAGTGTACAATATGGGTCATAGTTATATGCTGTACACACTCCAGAATTTACTTCCCTTTGTAATTATTTTGCATTTATAAAGGGGTGAGTGTGACATTACCCAGGGTACAATCTGGACCTTGATCAGCTGTGTCCCCTTA